CCCGAAAGAAAAGTGCTGTTTTCGGTGACATTGACCCCTGCACAACAGCGTGTGTTCCTGGTTGACGATTCCTACCCACACATTGAATAGTTTTTTCCACCACACTTTACAAACTGTCCGTATACACATACATGAATACAATACAACAATCCATGATATAGCCATCATGTAACATGTCCGACTAGCTAGCTTCTAAGCTAATTTTAACATTACCGCCAATGGAGAAATGCTAACCGCGATCAGCATTTAATACAACACCAATGTTATACTGAAAGAGCGAATAGAATATATCTACGTACATCTTTTCATGCTTCATAAAGAAATACTTACAGACTAAGGTCTCTCAAGGCTACCAAACGGAAGAAGTAAAACGTTAATGCAGCGTGTATTCTCATTAGAATCTAAAAACAACGAGGCACTAACTACGGCAAGAGAGGAGGGATAAATATGAGCATGAAAATGTCATTTTTTTCTAAACACATCAGTTTCCTACCGTCCACACTCAAACGCAACCCCGGAGTTTTCAAACACCTCCGTTTAGGGTGCTCCATACTCCTGCGTAGTGTGGCCGCTCAGTGTAAACGTAGCAAAACATATGTTTCCAAACGTAAACAGAGTAGTATGGACATGACCTAAGCCTCTGCATTTTTGTATTAGGGGCCCCACCAGAGGGCGCTGTCACACAGACAAAGAATAGGCTTTTCTCTATGTCAGACACAATAATGGCAAACTCAACTTTGTCTACTTCATAACATTTTTCATAATATTCTGAATGACATCGCTTCTCTAGAAACATATTGCTTTGTAGTGTGTGTACATTTGTCTCTGTGCCTGATGCTGTTTGCCCATTTCTGCTTGGTGGGGAAACGGCAGAACTGGCCTTACTGCACTTGTAGCTCTGGACCGACAAACTATTTGTGCATGTGTGCACGTTCAACGTGAACTTTTAGATTGTGAGTGGGGCCTGATGGCCAGGGCCACTAGAAGCATCCCATTGTTTGATTTTAATGATGCAAGGGTGTACATGTCTTGCTAGCTAGCTGAAGAGGGACTGATATTGTACTTTCTTTAATGTTACAACAGTAGTGATGACTCGTGTGGATTATTTAACTACAGTACAATTTAGCACTTTACCCCCCGAGCAAAAATGAATAAAACGTTTGGGACCACATCAACCGGATGACTAAATCATATGTCAAGAAGGAAAGGATCAAAAAAAGACAATTCAACCACAAGTGGTTCAAAGGGAAAACTTGGCTAACTGCTAGCATATCATCAAAAGCCCTCCATGTCTTCTTATCAAAGAGGAAACTGTCTGGACAGCAAGTGGATTTAAAGACTCGAAACATCTTTCAGAAAGGCTGGTAAAACAAGCGGATAATGTCATCAAGTTAGGCTTACTGGGAACAACCAACGTTGCCTCTCAGCTTGACGGAGCGTACAGATGTGGCATTGAACAATACAACTGTCAGACTGAAGAAATAAGGTATGTTCTTGGCAGAATTATAACCTGTATAAAACTTTGTGGAAAGTGTGAAATTGAAATTTTGTCATCACTGCAGTTGATACATTGGTCACAGCAATCCCTCTCTCACTAGCGGGCTTGGCTGTGAGAGTATGGTTCAATGTGATACATCTATGGTATGTTTGGATTGCGTCATCACATTTTCTTGTATGAATATTGTGTTGCCCCACCAGAATCTTCATACCATACGCTCACTACGCAAGTCGAGTAGGTCCCCGCAAATTATGAAAGGACCCCGCCTCCCCCTTGTGTCACAGCGTTTGTCAAGGTTTGCAACTTTAATGAGAAGAGGAAGTGAAAAGAGAAACGAAATATCATGAGAGTGAATTGCGGGAATCAGGCAATCAGGTGTGTGTTCTCTCCTTTCCAAGTTTGATGACAGCAAATAACAGAACTGTAAAGTTGCTGTGTGAGCTTTCATCACAACTCTCTCTAGTCTGTCTTGCTAACCGAGCTGTCAGAGCATCTCTTGGTCTGTCTTTATTTTGCTGGCTTGCCAGTCACTTCCAGGGCTCTTCTGACTTTGTGTCTGATAAAAGAGAGCGTGAAATACTAACCATTACATTTGATTAACACCAACAGCCAACAGTGTTTATTTACTGCAGCTTCAGAGAGCTGCGTCACGCGGAACACAATGAAACTCCAGCAGCAGCCTCTGTAGCTACCAGTCCGGACACTATGGGCATGATGGCCCTCCTCATAGGAGCACATGCTTTTAAAACATGACAATGCTTATCCAGTCTCACAGTCGGGTTTAGTTACAACTCTGGACTCATGCAAAATGGAAAGCAAAGGATTGACAGTAACCAGGTTGATGAGTTGGGCATACTGCAGGGCAATGTGGATGCATGCACATCTCTTAGTAAAGAATAACCATGAAGAAGCCTACTCAGGCCATAGTACAAATAGTATAAATGTATAAAAGGAAATCAGGGAGAGACAGTTTGAATGGGCCCAATAAAATGAAAAATAGTATTGTTATATATAATTTAAAGATTTTATGCTTAAGTTTGTCAGCAGAGGAGATGCTGGATCATCAGACTGAGGTGATCCACATCCAGCAGAGTCGAATCTAAGTGTTACATTTGAATATTTTTGACATGTTATATTTTCGACAATTTCTTATTAATTGTGAACACAAATTTTCACTCATCTTAAGACTATCGAGAATTAAAAATATTCTATTCAATAAATGTTAATACCTCATTCTGCTCGTATAGACCAGTGGTGGGCCGTCAGGGCCAGCAAGGCCTTCTCTGCTGGCCTAAACAGAATCACAAAGTTATAGCTATTTTATAATTTAATAATTGTTCTTAAATACACTACATGTATTATAATTTATAAAAATATTTTCCCCATTATCCCCCTTATGTTCTCATTGCACAGCTATTGTCTTCCTCAGTTGCTCTGCTTCCAGTGCAGCTTGTTTTAAGGAGAGCTTTTTTTTTTATGGGAGGTGAAGAGCTAAATGTGGTGCACAAAATGAAATATTTGGGTCACATCATCAGGAATGACCTAAGTGATGATGACGATGTGCAGCGGCAGTGTTGCAAATTGTATGCTCAAGCTAATATGCTGGCACGTAAATTTCATATGTGTACAGATGAGGTTAAAACAGCTCTCCTCAGAGCTTACTGTACTCACTGTATACAGCCCACCTGTGGTGCAGCTACAGTAAAGCCAAAATGAAAACGATTCAGGTGGCATTTAATGACGGTTTTAGAATCTTGCTCAAGCTTCCAAGATGGACAAATGCAAGTCATATGTTTGTGAGTCGTAATGTTCCCACCTTCCATGCTGTGTTGAGGAATCTTATTTACAAATTTAAATGTCGGTTAAATGACTCAGAAAATGTAATTATAAAAGCCTTAACTGATCCAACACAAAGTGACACAAGATATTCTTCTTGTTTCTGGAAACATTGGAACAAATGTCTGTATGTTTTTAACAACGAGTGACTTTTTTAACTGCAATGATTACACCTGTGTCTTGGTGTCCTCGTATTGTATTGTATTTTATATATTGTTGTTGTATTTATGTTTTTTTTTAATTTTGATACTATATGGACTCATGAGTCCGAAATAAAAGTTGATTATCCAATCAGATCTCACCTCTGTGTCTCTAGGTAAGAACAGAGGCAGAGGCCTGCAGACTCACAAGTGCATCCATGTGCAGTTTAAGTGAATGGGGACGATATTGTTGATTGTCATAGTGTTCAACCAATCAGATCTTTAGTTTGACATGTTGGGCGTATTCTTTGACGTGTCAGAGCCTTCTAGCTGGCCTACAAGTACGTGATTGGTCAGTGGGCTAGCGTGACATGTTGGGCGGTGACAATCCCAAAATCTGCTGCCTCTGTCGAGCGGATATTTTCAGCCTCAAACGCATTAAAACGTATTCAAGAAATACAACTGGGGAGACTCGACTGTCTTCACTGGCGTCCATGAATGGAGAAGGACTTCTTACTGGAACTAAAACACACGGATGTACTGAACAACCGTGAGATTAAACTATTTGTAATGAAAAAAAGGAGGAAAGCAGCTTTGGTAAGTGAAGTGCTTTTGTGTTTTTACATCTGCAGTAACGTTACTACTGTGTTCATTTGTCTATGGTGTCGTTTTTATGATATGGTTAATATTGTTCACTCTGATGTGAATAATATCTGAATGGACCGTGCTCTTGAGTCTGTGGCGGAATGCGTGTTTTAGCACCGCAGTTTTGCTGAATTGATTTTGAGCATTGTCCGTTAATGATGCAGCATCCCGTCCTGCATGTATTCATGTATCTGCACTCTGCAGTTAGTGTATTTGTAGGTGTTGAGCTTCATGAGCTTCATTTTTACACGAAGCAGAATTCAGCTTAGGGCCCCAGAGAGGTCGGGCCGGCCTGGAATCCAACATGGCATAGACTTCAACATCTTCATATCTGTTGGTCAAGGTTGGTCCCGACACCAGCTAATCAACTCACTACTGGTGTACTAGTGTACCACAGAAGACCATGGTGAACTGTGGGATACCACAGTATAAGAAGAAGTGGCCATTCATCGTGGATTAAGGTGTACTGTATGTTGGCATTTTTCAGACATGAGACAGACGTGAGATTGGACAGACCGAGAATGATCAATCTGTCCATGTCTGGCACCTGTACTCTAGATAGATGTTGCCTTCAATCGCGATATAAGAATGAGCCTTCGTGACAATTCTTGACAAAGAGCGGCGTTATCTGTTCATGCAAAAATAAATCAAAGACCGCATTGAGCAACTGGAAATAGTGAAAGAATGAAGAGAGGGGGCTATATAAACTCTGTGGCACCAGTGTGGAGTAAAACTCATGTTTTATCTAAAACATTTTGAAAGCTCATTTATCCTTTCAAGTCCCATTACCCTTGGACCTGAGTGACTGAGCTATCCTTATCTAATCTACCTCTTTCAGGCACATGTTAAAGATGAAGCTACCAACAGCAGTGAATCCTCACTTGCTGAGCTCCCTCTGAAGGTCCTGCATGTAGTGATGACACTGGGCGTAGTAAGTGGCTTGAGCCTCTGCAAAATCCTGCAGACATCGCAGGTGGTTGAGCTGAGGAGAGAAAGCAAAAGATGAAGTCAGTGTGAGTGGAATCCCCAGCAGAACATGAAACATACATACAGTCTATACACCAAAGATTATAATCAGATCGCTTATCCTTTTCTGGGTCACGGGGGGCTGGAGCCGACATTGGGTGAAGGCAGGGTTCACCCTGGACAGGTCTCCAGACTATCGCAGGTCTGACATCCAGTCACACTCACATTCACACCTATGGGCAAGTTAGAGTCATCAATGAACCATCAATGAACCTTAGCTGCATGTCTTTGGACTGTGGGAGGAAGCTGGAGAGAATCCATGCTGAACATGCAAACTTCACACAGAAGGGCCCGGGGCCGCTCAGTGCTAACTACTATTACAATGCTTTCCTTATTTCAGTCAAAAGCTCATCATGAATACAACTAAGACTCCTTCATTCACCACGTGTATAATGGTTGTGTGTCATACATCGCAGTGTATCCAGCACAGCCTGGAATGACATGTGCCTCCTTGCATGTGAATTATAGTGAAAGTGTTCCTTTAAAGCTCCAGCTATTTTCATGTGTCACTTTATTGGTGGCTGACAGGCGAGTGCACAAAACAATGCAAGCCGATTCGCTTTCTGCTGAAGAGGTAGCTGAGAAGATCCATACCATTCTCACACTTATCCTTTAAATATCAGGCTAAAGCCAGCCCGTTAGCTTAGCAAAAAACAGCTGGAAACAGCTAGTAGGGTTCTATCCAAAAGCAACAAAATCCACCTACCATCACTTCTAAAGCTCAATAATTAACATGTTATATCCTCTTTACTTAATCTGTACCAAGACCAACAAGCAGTTAAGGATTTAGGAGTATTGTTTTACCTGCAATTGGTAACTTCAAAGAGTTTTCACTGGTTGCCTGGAAGCTGCTCAGAGCCAAGAAATGGTTGGGCAGGAGTTATACTGATCTCCCCACCCCTCAGAACATTTTGTCACAATTCATCACTAACCAAAACTAACTATATAGTTATTATATATTATTTGATGTAAATTGTTTGAGTTAAAGTTAGACCCAACATGGTATAAATACCGGTTCAAAGTCATCTTTTGAGTGCCAAGAATTCTGGTGGGGAATTACTAATTTCTTCATTTATTTATATCGATCAGCCTAAAAGTTATCAAAATGAAATAAATATCAGGTCTAAAAATACTGGGATTTGCATATAATATAGTCCTCATATGTTACTTTTCTTGTTTTGTAAATTGAGGCTTCATAGTAGTGATCATGCCTTTGTGAATTATGTGGTTTGGGTTCATGGACGGCGAGCGAACACCTAACACTCAAGCCAGACAGGATCATGATCTTTTTTCTCTCCTTTTCCTTGAAAGGGCAGCGCTGTCAACGCGGTAATGGTACAACTTTGTGTGTTTGCTCGAGTTGACCTTGGCGCAATTAATGTGCACCATTTACTTCCTCCCCACGGAAACGCTCATTCATCCTTTGGAGCATGCATGTGTTCAGTAAATCTGTGCATCATGTCGGACAAACAAAAAACAATGATTCATGTCTTCATCGCTGCTGTGGACATTCTGGAGACGAACAGAGTCAGTCACTCACATGCGTGCTGCTGATGCCCTCCAGCAGCAGCCTGGTCACCTCAGCTTGTCGGTCAAACTCTGTCTGAGCGACACGGAGCTCGTGCTCTGCCTGCAGGTGGAAATGACGGGACAGGAAGGAAGCATTAAAAGGGCTGCATTTAGACACACACTGCATCTCCTCAAGTGAAGGTACTTACTTTGTCCACTTCCTCACTCAGCAGCTGAGAGATCAGCATGAGAACAGAAAGAAGCAGTCATGAACCATTCTCAGACTCAAACGTGAAATGTTTTAGACACCGTTTCAGATTGAAACACAGACAAAGCTTATAGATCCTACGAGGGGAGCTGAATCTAAATGGATCTGCAGAAACTGGGTTTAGTTAGTCCGTCTCTGTTACCAACCTGAAACTACCCAGCTGAACCACAGAGGCACCAACTTTAAATCAAACAGTCAGAAATAGAGTTTATTTAATCTAATTAATTAAATCTAATTAAATCAATATCATTTAATGAATTCTTCATATCAGTATTATCATATCATATCAACAGTTTCTCATACATCTGTATGATCCTAACATTATGCAGTGACACCTCGGCCATTTGTACTATATATTTAAATATATAACTAATTAAGATATCATTGACTTCACTTCAAATTTGGTTACTAGGATATTTTGGATTTTGCATAATAAATCTCTGAAGTGTCAGCATTAACTAAAAGCTGAACTCTTCAACCAACAGCAGTGGTTCTGCTCACACAATCATATATCTGACAGCTGTCCTTCCAGGTGCAATCGAGTGTCACAAAATGAACATCAGACAGCAGGTTCAACTAATGAAACCTCCTCTGAGCATCAATGTGCAGCAGCAGCATGAGCAGTGGGTTTATTAGACAACGAAACATCGGAAAAGGAAGTTCCAATGGATCTATCAAGTGATTTTCCTTCCTGTAGTTCAGTTTTTCCATCTTATAGAAAAGAACCAAACATGAACCAAATAGAAAGCAAAGAGCAGTGAGTGAGCCGCATACCTGCTCCGTTTATTCAGAACTGTCCCACAACATACACCTTTAGCTTTTGTCGGTGCTGCAGTGGCCGGAACAATCAACAGCTCCATCTCTACTTCTTCTACTTTTTAAATGATGGGATCTGTGGTCGGGATGCATTGAATGTTTAAGCTCCACCGTGGTTGATCATTTAGCAAATGATGGTCAATTTGGAAAATGGTAATATTGTTGAAAGGATATTATATCTTTAAAAAACAAGAATGTGTGTGATTAGAGGTGCCAAATGAAGACAGAACCAGATTGAAGTATTTCTGCCTCACTCAAGGTCCAGCTACTTGTGTTTGTGTGTGACAGCTGCTGCTGTCGGCCTGCAGGCTCAACTGAACTGGACCTTCCTCTCCATTCTACAGCTGCACACTGATGAATGGTTGCTGCATTGCGCCCTCCTGTGTTAAACATGTGTTATTATGAGAAAGCATCTTTGTCATTGTATAATATTTTGTGCAAGAATATTACTGTATACATTTTAGAAATGACATAAACTTGGGTAGAGCAGGTCGACCTTTAACCACAAGGTTGGTGGATCAATCCCCGACTCCAGCTGTGAACCCCGGGCGCTTTACAGCAACCCACTGCCCCTAAAGCTGAGGCTGCAGCCGTAGTCTGACCACATTAATATTACTAATTAAAATTTGTACCCCTGTGTTTACCAGCAGTTTAGAAAAACCACAAATTGGCAAAGTGGCCATGAATTGTTATCAGGCAGGGCAAAGTGGGGAGTCTACCACACAACACACACTAAATCACTGGAGACTGACCACTGACTACCACAACTCATTGCACTGTTGCTGACAAACGTTTATGTGTACAACCTCTCTCTGCTGTGACACGCTGGGATCCGTCTCCACATCCCAGCTCTCCCAGCCACTCTGCAGCTGGAAGTCAACAAGCCTACAAAGCTCATTTAAGCCAACGTATTGTTCTGTCTGTCTCTCTGATAGAGCACATGGAAAGGCCTGTTGCTCTGTTATTGCAAAGCTTAGCTGTGTTTAAGGTCCAAGACGGGTTTAAACTTGTGTTGTCTGGAACTAAATCAACTTAATAATTCCTAAAAGTACAATTTTGAGGTACTTTCATGTTCTGCTTTTTAGTAGTTCTACTCAGTTTCTTTTACAGCCATTAGTCACCAATAACTTTGAAGAGATTGATTTTACATACAAAAATATCATCAACTTATAGAATATAATACAATGTTATAGTCCACCTTAATCAGCTACAGCATGTACATAATGTATTAGTAATAATGATACAATAATAGAATTACACTCACAGGAATAATAAGTGCTTTGAAGTAGATTATCAGGATGTGTTTTTCACTAAGTTGTTTTGCTTCTTCTACTGAGGTCAAGGATCTGAACCCTTCTCCCATCACTGTTCAGCAGCTGAGACACATGGACAGCAATACGTTGGCTGAAATGGAAAGTCCGCACTCTTCTTCTGCAGCACTCCTCTCAATCTTGTGTGTGCACAGAGCTGCATATAGTAGTGGTCCAGCTGAACCACTTCTCATTTTGACACAATGATTCATGTCCAACTTAGTACAGCTGTGTCCAAGAGCCCAGCAAGTTACTGTAATCACAGCCAAGAGGGTCAGATGCTAAGTGACACAGCAACAGATGAAATGTGTCTGCTAGCTGTTAAATGGTGTGTTTCAGTGAAGGACATCGTTCCTCTATTATATATCTAACATGCTGTGATTTGCTCCCTTGTGACAAGAGCAACTAGAAAACTCTGTTGTCTATGGCTCCAAATGTTTCTAACAAAAATGAAAGCTGCATAAACATGCTCATATCATCATATTGATGTTGCAAACATCAACAGTCACTTGCCCAAGCATTAGAGATGCAGCCCCCACGCCATTTACTTTCAATAAATCATTCAAAATATGCAACATGTGCATCTTACTGTGTTAGTTAATAGCTGTCATCCCATGCTGGTTAAATGAACCACAGGAAGGCAACATTACAGTACCACTGGTTGAAATGGATTCCAGGTGGGCTACTTTAATTGTATTTTAAAGCTTTGAGTGAAAGGGCTTTTTAAAACTTAACAATATATTTTCAAATTTATTTGAAAGTAAAACATCTCCATATCTGTAAAATATCAAACTTTGTTGTCATTGAGAAAGCCAAAGAAGAGAGACGCATGTGTAACGTTCTCTGAACAGCTGCCACTGTAGCCACAAGATAATGGAGAATGCTAACAGCGAGTAGAACAGCAGCACAAGAGAGAGGAGTCGTAAAGTCTGCCAACAGTCATTAGTAGCAATGTCAGTTACACATTCATATGGAAGAAACATTGGCTAACATTAGCCACATAAGCTACTGGTCATACCTGATCAAGTGCGGCTGAAGCTGCAAAGGGTCCTGAATTTAGCAACGTTGAACTGTTTTGCTCAGAAATTCAATTTTTAATTTCTGTGTAATATTTTTGTTTTTCATAGTCTGGCTTAAACATTTTGACTGAATGGTACATACGAGCCAGTCCACTCTAAGCCTAGTATGTGCTAGCATAGCTCCTGCTCAGTGACATAGACCCTGTGTGTGCCCTGTGTGTGTGTGTGCCCTGTGTGTGCGGGTGCGCCCTGTGTGTGTGTGTGTGCCCTGTGTGTGTGTGCCCTGTGTGTGTGTGTGCCCTGTGTGTGTGTGCGCCCTGTGTGTGTGTGTGTGCCCTGTGTGTGTGTGCGCCCTGTGTGTGTGTGTGTGTGTGTGTGTGTGTGCGCCCTGTGTGTGTGTGTGTGCGCCCTGTGTGTGTGTGTGTGCCCTGTGTGTGTGTGCGCCCTGTGTGTGTGTGTGTGTGTGCGCCCTGTGTGTGTGTGTGTGCGCCCTATGTGTGTGTGTGTGCGCCCTGTGTGTGTGTGTCACTCGGGACTCTTACCGCTGATGCGCTGGCAGAGAGAACATAATTTCGAGGCCTTGTCTCCTGAAAATCAGGTGCAGCCTACAAACGAGAGCAGGGAGGAGGAGACACATGTTGGCACATCATGCAGTTACAATTATTAAGCAGAAAAACAAACAGCATAGCAGCAGAAAGAAAAGTGGTCAGAAGCAGCACAGGTGCAGGAGGAACTGTGGATAGCCGTCGGTGGTGGTGTGTCGTATCAAAGTGGTTGAAATGACTTATGACTGAATCATTTATTGATTCGATTATTAAATAGTTGGAGTCAAATGACATTCTTATGTTGATGGGTTTACTCTCTCTTGTTGTGGTGATGTTACCATTTAATGAAGCTTTTATTAGCTTCATTAAATGATGTGTTACTTGTCACATCCACATATGGAGCAGAGGCCTGTATCGTTTGTATTAAATCATTTTAAATTCAATGAGATGATTGAACTTTCTCAACCACTTCCTTACTATTCGTGAGTTCCTACATGAACACACTATTTTCTATAATAGTTATTTCACATGACAGATTTCTGTATGGATTTTGGGCCAGACTGCAGTACAGCAGGGTTAGTCCTATAAAGCAGAGAGTCTGTCGCTAACTTACTGAGGGACTCACAGCACTGAAGTCAGAGAAAAGATGAGCTGAAACACAGGACATCTGGACTTGTATTAACATTTACATCACTGCATGTTATTTTGTGCATAACCTAATTTGTCATGTCATATTAGATACTCTACTCTGATTCTGATGAAGTCTGCTTCACACAATCAGGCTTGGAACTCCCAGAGTTAACTGATACCCAGCTTCATCATACGGTTATCCAGGACCGCCAATGTTTGGCTAGAGCCAGACTAAGTTGAACCTGGTCTTGTCTGGATCAATCCTGCTTGATATATATATGATGTCACAGTCCTCTACTGGACCCGAGTGTTAGAAGTACTACTGCGTCTTGTAGTGTGCTACTCCATCCTCTCCCTGTGAGCCCGCTGTTCTGGCAACAAGCCGTGCCAGCTTCAGACAAAGAACCTCATAGTCAGCATTAAGAAGCTGATCTTATTGAGGTTGAGACACATGCAACAGGCACTGCAGGTAGAATCACTGATGATATGGCAGCCAGCAGAGCATCTGAGAAGCTTTTTCATTCAATTTGAAAGGTTTGATGAGTGCAGCCATGCCACCTGAGGAAGCAACCAACTCAGTGCAACACAAGAGGAACAAAATGACTGCAGACGTTATTCAAAAGAAAGCACGACCTGATGACCTGACATGACAACGCATAATGTTAGCTGCTATGTTAAAGCCGCTTGCTTCTTGCTATTCCACCTACCATATGAATATTGCTGTACTTCCCATCTTTGAGCTTTTTCAGTCTTATTATGTACGGACGTGTTAGAGAACAGCTGGCACAAGATGCACGTCAACAACAGTGTTGATTATCTAACATAGAACAACAGAGCTACGAGGCAGTGTCTCTCACTGTAGTCATACATGTTTGGCCACTCCAGGGCAGAGCAACTTTCATTTAGTTAGCAGATGTACAGCTTATTATGTTATGTTATGTTAGCAGATGTACAGCTTATTATGTTATATTATGTTAGCAGATGTACAGCTTATTATGTTATGTTATGTTAGCAGATGTACAGCTTATTATGTTATGTTAGCAGATGTACAGCTTATTATGTTATGTTATGTTAGCAGATGTACAGCTTATTATGTTATGTTATGTTAGCAGATGTACAGCTTATTATGTTATGTTATGTTAGCAGATGGATTCGTTTTTCTGCCATAACAAAACTAAAGCTAAAAGAGGTCAACAAGGTCCATAGAGCTGTACAGAATTGGGTTATATTGAATATATTGGGTTAAATTGAATATTCATTCACAGAGATACCACACTATGGAGCTTTTTCCTATCTTTATTCAAGAGTGTGGTTCTTAATGTAGGAGCAAGTCTCATCCTGTACTCGTATTTCTCTTTTCTAGTCTTCCGAATAGAATATATCTATAAATAACTTCATTTTTTTATGAATGTGAAGCTGAGCAATGACTCGTCAGTGCGTGCCTCCTATGGGTGAATTTTGGAAATGATTACATTATCTTTTTTTCAATACATTTTGACTTACAACGCTGGACTTATTGGAAATGTTTGGATCACACAAGTCTGTAAAAATCCTACACAAGCCTCACTGGAATCTAGGCTATAATATTCTATATATATTGCTACTTAGTGTAGAATGAATAGACGTGTAAAAATGTTCATTTAGGTTAACTTTTTTTCTTCAGCTGAAAGGAAACAAAAGTGTTGAGCATTCATGATGATGTCATTCTTTATATAGCCTGCCTATCAATTGTTTTTCAGCTCAAAAAACATTATTTGACCGTAATTTCTCCCATTACTGGGACATACAAGCCATTTTGCTTCCAGCAAAAATACTGATCGGATCACCCTTAATATTAACCGTCTTTCTATTCTAAAAGTCGTAAAGAAAGCCAGCGAAGTACATTTAATAAAGCCTTGGAGGTCAGAAGAGGAGGGACACTCTAGTATTGAGAATGCAGGGATCAACACTACACCTGAGAGCAGAAGCTGAAGCACAGGAAATCTGTATGCAACATCTGCGTGCAAGCATACAGTTCGAGCAGAAGCAGAGCAAATCTAAGGACAAGCAGAGCTATTTGAGTGTGAGCATTACAACATCTGGATGTTAAATCAATGAGTTATTCTCAAAGTGAAAGTTCCCATTCTTGAATAAAGATAGAAAAAATAACGCTCGATACCACACCAAGTTTGGGGATGACTAGATAAACAGTAGATCAAAAATTCATCAAGAAAATTGATTTTAGAATTTTCAAATGGCCTTAAGTCTAACATACATGTGACTGAAAGTGGCATTCAGCAACAAATTCACCTGGTAGCAGAGAATCTTGGGAAAGGAGAATTTTGTTTATATGACCGCTGTTAAAGGTGCAGTCCACAAACATTTCATGTCAACTGTGGATTAAATGGCTACATGTAAAAGAAAGATGGTCACTTGTATTGAAGAGAAATATCAGCAGCTCTGCAGAGTATTTGCCACTGGTTGATATAGTGGAGCATTTAACAGCTTAAAGGACAGACGTTTCCCTACGCAGTCAGTAGAGAGCTAACAGAGGGGGAACATTGGACCTACAGTCATCAGGTAGACACTGACATGACTCCAAATGAAAGATTATGTTGCTCTGTGTTTGCTGGACTTCTAAATAGGCAATGTTTGTTAAACTCCTTATGGTGATAATGTGACAATGTTGTGTTTACAGCTTTTCCAGCTGCCCCCAAGTAGCCAAAAGACATGAATACTACTTTCAGAGGTTATAGATTAAACAGGAGAGGTGGATGTTATACCTGAAGATTCAATATGGTCACAGATTTGACTATCTGCACAGTATGGCTGCTGTAAATATCATGTTTACAGAGGACAGGAGGAGGAAGAAGAACTACAAGAGCAACAAATCAACTTGACATTTCATCTCACCGCTGCTTTGGCTTCTGCCAGTTTGCCTTTTTTCAGACGTGCTTTGCAGATGTCAAGATCCAGCCGTCGATTCTCCAGAAGTCGCCTCTCTTTCTGCAGAGGACAGGAGGGATCCAATCAGAAACCAGGTACCTGCTGCAGGGAACAAACCTTGCAACACTAAGTTTAACAGCACAATGAAGCAACCAGCTCCAAGAAGAAGACTTTCATGTTTTAGCGCACACGTCTCCATGGAAACAGACTTCTCCTCCCTCGGGTGGTGTTAAAAGCGAACACAATGTCTTAAAGCACCAAGGTCCTACAGTAAAGTAGTGAGTAAGAAAGTAAATCAGTCAGTCAGTCTTACTGATATAGTCCTCCAGTCTCCTTCCAGGAAGTTGCGTAGAGGAGTGAGGAAGCCGGCGACTGAAGTTTGGAGGAGCTCGCGCTCGGCTCCACCCAGTCTCTTCTGGTACTCTCCCACTGTGATCAGGGTACTACCTACAAATACACAAGTTACCCATCATGTAAAACCCATCAGCTATCAGTCAGACGACAATTTAGCCCACTGTGCAAAATACGGGGGGCCGGAGTCCTCTTGATTGACATTGGGGATCCCCTGAAAGCCTCAACAGCTAACTAACATCAGCAGCATTTATTCATTTAAATAGCAAAACATGTATTCACGAATATTAATCAAGGAAAATATTGATGTGGTGTTTCTTCATATATATTGCCATTAAATAGCCGGTTGGTTCAGGTCAGGCCTTCTTCCATGGGTGGCGCTGTTGTAAATGGTCCACAAAGCAAATGTTGAGTAGTTTAGAAAAGCTAACGTCACCCTGTACAACCTGAAAAACAAGTGGATTTGTTTTCTCCTTTGACATCATGGTTACACTCTGTTCAAATAGGGACTCATTACTCATCAGGTCTAGGAAATAATTTATATCAAAGAAAAAGTCCACTATTTTGAGGTAAAGTAGAATATGTTTTGATCTCTAGCATATGTTTGTGGCTGAATTGTAATACAACTGCTGAGCATAAGGGGAAAAATTGAACAGCGAAACACAAGTGTGTGTCTGTCAGGTTCTAGTGTATGTGTGTGTGTGTGTGTGTGTGTGTGTGTGTGTGTGTGTGTGTCGGGAGAGAAGGGCGTGTGCTGTGTGGATTCTGTCGCAGGGCATTTGCGTGGTTTTGTATTTGTGTGAGTGGCCTTATTGTTTTATATATCTCGCATTAAGTCTGTTTAAGACTTCAGCATAACACAGAAGCACTACGTAGGGTTGTCCTGATTGCACTGGGACTTCTGCACACTGACAAACAATATCTCTGTGGTTACGGTGTAGCCAGTGGAAATCAGGATATCCTTTATCTGGATATCAAGACCAAGACATTGGTCATTGTTTACAATCCGATTAGCAATTTGAGACAAAAGAATGTAGTTGGAGTTGAGAGACGACGTCTACGACCGGATTGTGTAAGAGTAAGCAGGTTACGCTCAGTTAGAACTTTATGATTCAGCTAATAAAAAGCTAAATCACCGTCAGACGATAGCCAGTGGGTTCACAAATTACATTTCGGCCAATGAGTTTGGCCTATTTTGTTCCCAGACTTTTCACCTGCATTCAAACAAAGCTGATTTATCAATATCAATTATTTGATTATTATTGTGAACATTCAGGATGGTGCTTCAGAAAAGCATACCTCATGAGTAAAAAGCAGACAACAATATGATAGTCTGTTTCATCACAGCACCACTGACCATATGGCGTCCCTGGACCAAATTCCTTGGCAGCTTCCAGCATGTACTGGCCCAGCAGCTCTGGGTTGGTGGTCCTGGAGGGAAGCTTCTTATCCAGCTTGTCATAGATGAACTCCTCTATTCGAGCACCTGGACAGCAGGTTATAAAGAGATCTCAGGGAAACTGTACGCACAAGGAGAAAAACTTGCTTGTTTGCTTCAGAGTTTTTTGAGCCTTATTCAAATTATGTAATAATCTTTTTTTTTTTAACATTTCCATGAAACATGCAATCTGAAATTAGTTATTTTTCAACCAAGTACTGAATATAGGATGTATATTCCTTCTGAGACCCGCAGGATTGCAAGCTAACATTACTGTCTTTAAGAGGCTGTAGCGGGCTTGTCTTAAAGCTAGAGTGAAGATACTGGCATCATATGAAGCTAATGAACTAATGGATCCATTGGTACCACATCATGTCATGCTATCTTGGGAGGGGGCTGTGTAACGGTCCAAAGTTGGGCCAAATTTTGGTGAGGGAGGCCTGGCATGGCAAGATATGTGAATGAAAATGGTTCTAGGGTGTATTTGAATATCTATTACTTACTATATTCCTTGTGGATCCAATGAGCCTTATTGTATTCATGTGTGATGATGTTAGTCTCCATAGCAGCCAATTCATTGCAGTGGGGCCATTTTTTGAAACATCCCTGTATAAAGTGATTGAGTGTTGTGACTCTAGGAGAATCACAGCCTAATGAAACTTCACAACCACAAACCAGAGACCTAGGGCGGTCAGAGGACGTATGGTTTGTACCATGTGGAACTGATACATGGACTTGTAAGTACAGTGTCTTTTTAGTCATTCGACCACTCAAGGTGCTTTTTACACTCCATGTCATTCATCCCCTGATGGTAGGGGCTACAGCCCGCTCCTCTGAGCCTCAGCCTACACCAACCAGGGGTTTCTCAGCAGCCTCCAGAACAGAGGCGCTCGCCATCTAATCGCCAAAAAATGTAATTCTTGCAGAAATCTTAGGCTGCACGGTGGTGTAGTGGCTAGCACTATCACCTCACAGCAAGAGGGGCCCGGGTTCGATCCCCGATCCCGGGTGTTCCTTCTGTGTGGAGTTTGCATGTTCTCCCCGTTGCAGCGTGGGTTCTCTCCGGGTTCTCCGGCTTCCTCCCACAGTCCAAAGACATGCAGCTCAGGTTATTTGGAGACTCGAAATTGCCCGTAGGTGTGAATGTGAGCGTGAATGTTTGTCTGTCTCTACATGTGCCCTGCGATGAACTGGCGACCTGTCCAGGGTGGACCCTGCCTTCGCCCAATGTCAGCTGGGATCGGCTCCAGCGACCCTGAACAGGATAAGCGGTTTGGATAATGAATGAATGTTTATTTCTGATGTACGACTAGTATGACATGACACACCCAATGATCCCCCATAAAAAGACTAAAGTGTCTCCAGTTTGACTCACTTGTGCAGCTACTTCTTAACTGTGACCTACAGGAGTGGATTATGAATTATGAGTCCATTAGAAACAGAGGACAAGTGCATTAGCACAGGACATTAGGAACTTTCCTAATGACTGCTTGGTTAACTAAATTACTTTAAAGGCATTTCTGTTATTTTGTCTACTACTTATGTGTAAACAGGAGAGAAGCTGGAGTAATGTGGGCTGAGGAGGTTAGCGTCACGGATCTGAGGTGGGAGTGTGTTGGTGCAGGAGGTCAGAAAGGTATGAAGGGGTTTAGGGTTATGAAGGGCTTTGTATGTGATGAGGAGAATCTTGAACTGGATTCTTTAAGGAGTGGGGAGCTAGTGGAGGTTCTGAAGGACTTGGGTGATGTGGTCTCTGGTGGAGTGGGAGTGGGAGTGGGAGTGGGAGAGCAGACGGGCAGCTGAGTTTTGGGTGTTTGTAGTTTGTTGATGATTTTGGTGGATGAGCCGTACAGGATGCTGTTGCAATAGTTAGTGTCGTGAGGTGATGAAGGCGAGGATGAGTGTTTCAGCTGCTGAGAGGGTAGCGCCAGCAGCATGGGGGAAACAGCTAGCCTGAATCCGTCCAAAGGTAACACAAGCTGCCTATCAGCCCCCTGAAAGCTCACTTCTTATCACATTCTATTTGTAATGTTTGTTCAAAACCAGCTCCCTAAACATACCTTTTTACACTGTGGTTTATTTACAGATCAAACACACATGATGTGACATGTTTAGTATTGGGATTTTGTTACCTTTGGACAGGGCTAGCCCTTTCCAGTCTTTGTGCTAAGCTAAGCTAAGCTAAATGGCTGCTGGTTGTAGCTTCATTTTCATCAGACAGATATGAGAGTGGATTTAATTCATTTACCCTTCTCACTAAAAAGTGAACCAGCACATTTCCTAAAATATAGAATGATAGATTTAATATGATATTGTGAGACTTAATTAGTCAGTATACATGCAATGCTAAGCATTTTGATTTACTACAGTTGTGTGTATTTACCTCAGGGCAGGCCTTTACTTGGAACAAGCCTTTATTGCTCATTTCACCTGATCCCCGGTTAATACACACTCTTCACTTCCCCCATGTTTAATTCATGAGGTTACATTGACTCATTTTTTCTTGTCGTTTCCATTTTGTTGTTTTTTGGATGTTAAGCTACACTTAACATGTTTCTCATAAAAAGCCTTCCAGTGGCTCAGCTGTTATAATCCCCCCCCCATTTATTGAAGGCTTTTCATGTGAAAAATATGCAGTATTTCATTAAAGCAGTGATTTTCAACCACTGTGCCGTGAGAGATCGCCAGGTGTGCCGTGGGAAAATGTCCAATTTCACTTAATCGGTCCAAAAAAAATATGAATTAGTTGCTGCAAATAATTTGCCATTGTTGAGCGTCTGAGCTGCAATATAGTGTCTGGCTAAGTAATAAATACTCTTCCATGCCAGTGGGTGGCAGTAGGTATCGCAGTAATGACCGTGTTCATTTAAGACAGGAGAATGAAATGATGCGCGGGAGACGAACAGCGATGGAGAAATATTTGAAAAAGGATAAATGCGGACTCTGAACTGGGCCCTGGACAACAATCTGACCCAGATGAAAAGCCGAGTATGAGTGGTGGTCAAAAGAAAGAAAAAACGGTGAGCTTGAGGCAACACAGAGAAAGTTATCTTTACTTTGGATTTACTTTCATCTAAACAGGCCCAGGTTTCACACCGAGTAAGGATCAACAAACTGAAAGACTTGTCATTAAATTGTCAGCATATATGCTGTATTATGCTACAATGTGTCATTTTGTAACTTTTTTGGTTGTTGGTGCGCCGCGGAATCTTTTTAATGTAAAAAATGTACGGCGGCTCAGAAAAGGTTTAAAAACAGTGCAGTAAGGGTAGCTTAACAACAACTAGGGGAGAAGGTGTTTCTATACTCCATTCAGTGGACAGCAGACTGTCTCTCTGAATAGAACAGATTCACTCTGGTTCAGTTTCAACATGTGATACAATAAGGTCAAACTGTAGATGAAAGCGTGGAGCCCTACTGCGGGTCTTTATGCTACACTGTACATATCATCTGTACCATGGGTTCATCAATGCTCACTTAAACAGCAATCTGGGAAATGACTTACCAGTGTGGTCAACTGGAGCATGGAGGATTAGAAAGTACATAGAGCGAGAGTTAGACATTAATATCAAGGTCCATTCTACTATTCTATCCATTTGAAGTCAATTACAGAATAATGGAGGACTATGAGTATCTCTAAGTTTGAAACTAAAAGAGCTAAAACAACAACACACAGTAACAATTTCACATTGAAGTTTAACGGTAGGGTTTGTAATCTTCAAAAATATTTTCGTGTTTTTGTTGAAATTCTCATTACATCCCGACAGCAACCAATGAATGAAATGCTCTGAGCATTTTTCTTTTTTAAAAGAGGCATCTGTAGCTGACGCAGGACTGTAATCAGCGACCTACCTGCCTGCATCTCTGTGCATATTCTGCCCGTTAACTCGTTGCTCCACAAGCTGCTGGCTTAACAGCTGTGAGTTAGAACAGTAGCCATGTTGGTTGCTTATAATGCTCATTTTGGGGGAGTGGCTTAGGAGGGAGGTCTGCAGAGACGAAATGTCAGTGTTGTTGATTAAGCAACTTCTGCAGCTAATGCTG